GGGCCGACCCGTCTCGAGCTTTTCTCCCCCCTTCTCCTACTTCGACCAGAGAACGTGTGGAATCTCTTTCCTACCATCTACAAGCAGCGACGCCTTTTCGCTCAGGAAAGATCTTCCACCATCAACATTGCGAAAGACTCTATCATACCCATGATGAACTCAGGAAATATGGTAGTGTTTCAGTAATTCATTTTGAATAAAGTAGCGGCAACTACTTCCGCGTCATCCTTTGCGCTCCCGCTCTCCCAGAGCTTAAAGCCCTCGTCTGTGCCTTCTAAAGGCTCAAGAACGGCCGCATTGACTGCTGGCTCGGTGGACTTGCCCATTAGGTCATCGACGTCTCTGGACTCGACGGCAGTTTCGTCCGACTCGGCCTGGACTTCAGGCGGGCAGTCGTTCAACTCGGGAACTGCGGCGGAAGCAACAGGTTCCTCCTCATGCCACGGACAAGAAAGAAACCTCACAGATCTTCCACCCTCAACATCGCGAAAGACTCTGTCGTCAGCCATTCGCCAGTTATTCCCTCTTCACTACAAGACGACGACGACGACGACGACGACGACGACAACAACGAGAAGCAACGCTGATCGTTCTTTCGAGACCTCCGCCTTCACCCTCGACGCGGGTTTCTCCAAATCACGCGAAGGTCTTTCCTACTTGCGGGTGTTTGGATAGCGATTCCAAAGCAAACGACAACACAAACAGCCCTTCGGTCAGTTATCCGTTCTTATTCTTCTCCTTCACAACTGACAATACCAGAGGTGACGGATAGCTAGAGAATTGCTTGTCGGTATCGCTAGATCTTCACCTTCCCCTCCGATCTTACGTTCTGTCCGTCTTGAGAATCCCCCGCCTCCGACGCGGCCCGGCAAACCTCTTTCCTACTCGCAATCGCAAGGCTTTCTGGGCTGCGATTTCGATTCTGCGACGGAAACCCACACTCAGACACCCATCTGTTACCCCTCCACTTGCGACGACAGCGACACTGTCAGTTACGAAAAGACCACCCAGTTCACTGTCAGTCATCCGTCTGGTATCCCTCCCTCTCGTCATTGACAATATTAGCGACGATTACCAGAAAGCTACGTTCTCTTCGACGACAAGATGGCTTCCATTACCGACTTGCCTCGAGAGCTCATCGGCGCAATCGTGGCCGAGATCAGCACACTTCAGGACCTCGACAACCTGATGAGAGCTTCGCGTTACTTCCTCCAAGCCGTCCACGCGTGGCCAACCATCCCCCACATAATTCTGCGCCGCCAACTCCTCGTGGAACTCCCTTCGGGCCTGATGGCCTACGCGATAGCTATCGTGGAAGCCGGCAACTTGCCTCGCCCACGATCGTCCAAGCATGCCGGCAGGGCCATGTCGAGGGTCCTCTATCAAGTGGCCCACGACCCTGCTCACAGCTTGAAACTGGTCCCAACTCTTGGTTTCAAGTCTCTCATCAAGATAAGGGACATGCACAAAACTATCCTGAGTTTAGCAAACGCAATGGCACAAGATGCTTGGAAAATGCTCCGAGACGTGGATGGAGTGGTTTCAGGAGACTTGGTTCTATCGGGACGAGAGCAACATCGAATCACCAAAGCTATCTACGAAACGGGACTACTTTCGACGGTTTTTGGCGACGAGAGCTGGGAAACAGCAGACTTGGACGTCTTTTACGGTGCAGACGGAGATATTTATCTCGCGACTAAGACCGCTTGGGAAATCGAGGCCATTGGCTGCGTCTTGGACTTCTTTGAGAAGAGACTGTTTGAGGGTAGGTGTTGACTCCAAAAGCTTTTCACCAAAGACACAACTGCTAACAGCACGCCAATTGTGGACAGTTGCGCTTGACGTCTTCACTCACGATATTGAATTTGGCTGGTCCAGTTTTGATTACGTGCGTCGAGGAAGCGATAACGGAGACACGATGATGTTGGTGAGTCTTCAGCTTGCGCGCCTATGTGTTTGTTCAGCTCATCTCACAAAGGCACTCAACTAGGTCTCAGGTGGTGTGAACTTTGTTCACCAGCTAATTCAGGAACCTTCTTACCAAAAAAAGCGCGACATGCTTTGGACCAAGCACAATGACCCAGATGCAGTGCTAATTAGTATCATGCTTGCGGAGTTCTCCCGCTCCCCCCTCCGACGACCCAGCTCACAGCAGCTGGCGATCCGGTACAGAGAAGAATACCCGCAGGCTGGAGAGGATCTTGACGACAAAGGCCCTCAAATGGCCTTTGATCAGACTCTGCTGGGGCAGCCTCCATTCTTTCACCCAATCTACGCAGGACAGAGGGAGAGGGGCTATATCTTTTGGGACGCCAACCGCCTCATGGCAAACAATCACAAACTCCTCAACCTCGTCAAGAGAACCCTGCCAACTACCAATCAGACCTGCCACCTGACTTCGCGCGGTATGGTTTATCAGGATAATACAGCAGCTCGTCTCTTGGCGATGGAAGCGAGCTGGGACGAGCGCGCCGCCATTTACGAGGAAGGCGGCAGAGGCTACTTGAAAGATGGGGACTACAACGGAATCCAGTGGACAGGAGAAAAGATGAAGAATTCGTATGGAGAGCAAGACGAAACCAGCGACGAAGATAGCGATGATGAGGAGTAGGGACGGCGGGCAAGGAGGTGCAGTGGCGGCTGAGGATGAACCAATACCCTCTTGGAGAACGATGCATCCCATGGTGGACCGGAATGAGCGCATCTGACCGCCGTGGTAATTTCACGGTTATTGTAGGATAATTATCGCGCAGGCAATTGATTCGCACACATATCGGCATGCTTTCGGACGCTTCGCTTGCAATATCATCATCTCGTGAACATGGAGGCTGACGTGGAGTAACACAGAACAACCACCCGCATTTCATCTCGCGACCGGGCCAAAACATCACCATATTATCATATGTCGTCAAACCCCCAGTGCATCATCACATGCATTCCCCAACATCGCTTCTGTAGGCTTAGTCATCACTGGCTTGATGATGCACGCGGTTCTTCTTAACCGGATGAGGGGGAAGATCTGAGGGCGTATCAACCCCGCGCCAGCCGGCGCTGGCGGCAAAGCCAAGAGGGCATCTCCTCATTCCTTCACCTCACCTGATTTGAAATCCACGTCATCACATAGGCCATCTTCAAATTCATGTCCCAAAAACCCGCGATGTCTTCAACGCAATCCGAGCGCGCGATGGAGGTGGCCCTCGCTATCCCGGAGCTGCTCGAGTCCATCCTGGTGCACCTGGACATGACCACGCTGCTCGTGTCTGCATCGCGCGTTAGCAAGTCGTGGAAGACGCTGATGGACGCCTCGCCGGCGATCCAGCAGGCGCTCTTCTTCAAACCGGTGGTGGAGGCCGCTGCGCCGTCGCGGGATCCTGACCATGATCTCGACGACGACGACAAAGGGGCTGGTGGAGAACAAAGAGATGCTGCTGCTGGGGCGAAGTGCAAGCGCGCCCGCCCCAGGATCAACCCGCTGCTGGCGAAAAAGTTCGACAAGTGCTTCTTCGACTTTGGGCAGACGTACTCGCTCCATCGGCGGGCGAACTCCTTCTACGAGATGCCGTGGTCGCGGCAGCCGATCCGCGCGGTCCAGGAGATCTGGGGAGGTTGGAGCCAGCTGAGACCCGCCGACCTCGACGCTGAGACGGAGCAGTCCGAGAAGGAGTGTCGCCGGCGGTTCACGCGTCGGGGCGCGAGCTGGCGGCGCATGCTCGTCTCGCAGCCGCCGCCGCCGTCGATGGGGTACATCAAGTTTGACATCTCGGAGATGCCCACCGAGGGCCACAGGGTCTGGAGCGCGGCCTTGAAACCAGGATCCGACGAAGCTGGGCTGCGCATGGGCCAGCTGTTTGATCTCGTCCAGGACGAAGTCGGGCACCACGGGCGGCACTCGCTGTGGTTCCGCGTGCTCTGGGGCAAGCCGACGAGCAGCTTCGCGATCTCGCGCGTGAAGGAGACGTTTGAGCGGTTGATGGCGGAGACGCACGTCGTGGTGGAGCTCATGCACGCGGACGACACGTCGCTGCCGAACCACCCGCAAGACCCGGCTGACGTGAGCGTGTTCGACGAGGCGTTCCGGTGTGACGAGCACACCGAGGTGAAGGTGCACACCGAGGAAGCGCTGGTATATCCCCCCGAGTTCCCCGAGTTCGACGGCCGCTTTGTCATTTGGCACTGGAAGCTGCTGGAGCACGAGCGCAATTTGGGCTAGGATTGCTGGTCTTGGTGAGCGTGGAAGTAATTTGCGGACCCGGGAAGTGGGGTTGCCAAAGGTGGTTCTCGGGCATTGTTTCCGTATCTTCGAACTTTCGGAACCCCTTGCATCTTGGCGAATGATGAGAGTTTCTACTTTGTTCTTCTTGGGGATGGTTGGTATGGATTTGGGGACTACGAGCTGGTTACTGCGGTGTTGGGCACGTTTCAAACATTGTTATTTTACGGCATGGCGAGCATACGATGTCTACAGTGTATTTCACTAGCAGCTGTATGGTTTATGGGGGACGCGTGGCACCCGTGGCTGAGAACTATTCGATCATGTGTAAAGTACAAGGCAAGGATAATGATTAAGTTGTGATGATCAGTCTCTTGGTGTTTTTAAGAGATCCTCTCTAACAAGCAAATGCCCAGGATAACCGTTTTTCCTGTTGCTTTGCTGATGGGCCTTGTGTAGTGAGAGGCCTATCACGGGCGACATCAGACGATTACTGTGGCTCCTCACGATGTCTAGCCCCTGAACATATAATTCGACTCATGTGGTGGGTTGGCTTGTGGCTGGCAGTCCAATGGTTGTTTCAATCTTTTTTTCATGCATTAATTCCGCTTTTGTCTACTTCACACAGCCCCGTTACAGAATCAGCCTTAACCGACCCTACCTGCGCTCCATATCTTCCCCAAATTACCCCTTGATTGCGACCTTTGTCCCAAAATCGTGGTAGGCCTCGCCCTGTAAGCCGTATCGTTCCGCATGTCTCCTTGTGCCCCACTCGTGTACGTGAGTGCGCTTAGCAGGTCCAGACGTAGGTGCACTTGGTGCCCACGGGAGTGCAGCTGGTCTTGCCCTCGTTGCCCTCGCCGGAGAAGTGGCCGTTGTTGTTGCCGCAGACGAGCTGAGGGCTGGTGTACTGGGTGTCGACATCGCAGGTGTTGTCGCTCTTGCAGGTTCCGGAGAGGTTCCAGGTCTCGGCGAGGGCCAGAGGGGCCAAGAGAGCGATGATGGTAGCGAACTGCATTTTTGCTGTTGTTGATGTGTCAAGTTGCGTTGAAAGATTGATAGTTTTTGGAACGAGAGACTGCAGTTGATGTGCGTTGTTAATGACGGTCATTCTAAATCAAAAGGCGTTCGAGGCTAGCAATATTTATAAACATTTCTTCGTCCACCCATTCTAAATTACCTATTCATTCTTTACCCCTTGACGTGGTATCAGTCAGCGGCCTCGAGGCATACAGATGTATCAAGGCGGTCTAGGGGATATATGGGGCTTTACCGAGCCTGACTCGTAGACGTAGATCATAACTTGCTTTGTAGTCGGAAGGCCCTGTCTGTACGTTTCTGTTCAAAAGTGGCAAGTAGAACGGCTCCTAAGGCCGTTACCGATTCATGGTACGGAGTCGTCTAATATGGGAGTCGTCGGTCGTGGGCCGATGGGATGCATTGTGGGCACCTCATTTTGCTCACTGTGCTGTGAGACTAGTCAGCTACTCGGGGCAAGGCGGTGCCGCGGCTCCGTCACAGCAGACGGAGTAGTCCAGAAGACGGGATGCGACAGCGTCGTACAACTTAATGCGGTATGACAACTTCGTATAATCGGAATCAAGGTTTTCCCAAAACTAGCATTTCTTGAATTAATGGCATTTGTACGAGGGGAAAAATGTATTCGTAAGTAGTATATTGCTCTCGGCAATGGGAGTCCTGGTTAGGTATGTTTCACCTGAGTTGCTCGCAAGATGGGAGACAGTGTCTGCCCACTAGTTCTCCAGTGTCGCAGGCTCGCAGGGCCTCATGACTAGGTGCCGACGTATTTATGTGCAGGTCTAACATCGTCGCAGCCTCCGGCACAGGAGACACAGAACAACGGCGCCCAGATATTCTGTAACGAGATGTTTATCAAAGCTTAATATTCACTATTTGAACTTTGATTCTGAATAGTCTCCATACTCTCATAAGATCGCACAACTCGCTATCTGCAAGCACTGGCACATTATACGAGCAGGTAGTGGTCGACATTTTAAAAAGAGGTGTAGATTTACCAACTCCAAGCAATTTAAAAACTATTCCGACCTATCATTCATGTGCTGAAGTGTCCTCAATCCCCCGAGAAGCTCCCAACCTAGCACATCAAGAAACCACCCGTGGCAGCCCCCTTATGAGTCATGATACCACAGTAGTAAACCTGGGGGTTTCCATCGTAGCTGATTTCGCCATCCTCGTAGTAGAAGACAACCCTCTCATCGCCCTGCTTGACATTGTTCTTTCCGCCGTCATACGGGCTTCCATTCATAAGTGGAAACTCATAGCGGCTGTCATCCGCGGGACAGTCCTTGGGGAAGTTGAGCTTAACCCCCTTGGAGTCGTCGTTGGGGAACGGGTGTGGGTATTGGTTTCCTAAAGTAATGTTAGGATACAGCCGGGAGAGACTCGGAGACCAAGTAACGAAGTAAATAGAGAAGTGTAAGGAAAACAGATGATTAAAGAACTTACGGCCGCGAGTTTCGCCCACGAGGTGGAGGTTGGTGCCTCGTTGCGCAGCAAGGTAAATTTCATGCCCGCTGTAAGTCTTGTCTCCGCACTTGAATGAGCCAGAGGAATCGGGGCCATTATGAAGCTGGATTGTTAAGTCTTAAGCATTCCGCTCCAGAGTCTCATCAGGTTGTGGAATGCCTTACGTTGATGGGCGCATTGGACGGAACACGAGCCTCAAGCTCAGTTGGAAGCCCACTGGCCACACCGAGGAGGACGAGAACAGACGCGGAGATGGAGAATCTCATTTTGACGATGATAAATTTAAGAGGTAAAAGTTTGTTGTCCGTGAGAGGTATATGATAAGTAAGTAAAGTTGTGTTGATTTGAGTTGTTGGTACTTATGATCGAGAACTTGGAGAGATGCTCGAAGGCTTTTATATTCAATTACTGCTATGCATCACCCTCTCTGATTACAAGTTGTTCGGCAGATAATCGTCGATTCAAGCGCATAGGTAGGTCGCCCCGAAGCCTCCGTAACCCGAATAAAGATAGAAACATGAGAAAGCTGTTCGTGAGAGCTGAGATTGAGAACGCTAACTTGACGCGGCGCAGTAACAGGCAGCAAGTACACAACTGCTGACCTTGGGCCAGGCAGTTTTAATCCTGAATCAAAGACATTCGCTGATCATATCGTTCATCGCTGACAACTTTCTGCCAAGATGCAAGAGACTCTTGCCCTGAGAAAGGTCACTTTATCGCGATGTTCACCACAAAAACATCGCGAGGCTGGAAATGCTTCGCCCGATGCCATGAGTCCTACCTCTGGGCTAGATGAAACCTCGGGGCCTGATTGACGCTGACGGATCAGGCTGCGTTGTAGATCTTTTCCATTGTAAGTCATTTTTTCGTTGGTTACCTAGAAAGCGACCCCAAATTCTCGGATTCCGCCTCCGTATCTGAGCTGAGCCTTGTCAGCTGGCCCCCGCGTGTCTTTGAACAAATTGCTCTGGGACCCCAATATTACTCAGAGTCGTCATTGTATCAGTCCATGTATCATTGGTCAGAATGTCTTGGTGAACCGCAGGATGCCTTGTGACGTCAGTGAGGCCAAGTGACTCGGGGCGATAAATAGTGGGGCTGCGCCCGATCCATCGCAGCTGACGGAGAAACACCAAGACATTTATATCACAGACTCATGCGTCTCAAGTACTGCCAGAAAGAACGCCAGAGCACAAGCTTCTTTCTCCAACTCAAGTGTATTACTCATCATCATGTCCGACGATTGGTTTTCTTCCAAGCTCGCCCCGGACGGCGACATCGAAGATGGATGCCATACCCAAGAAGCACAGGCGATGAAAGACTACCTGCACCAGAAGACAACTGCAGCCGATGCCGCTCGAGCCATCGTCCACCCCATCTTGACTGCCGACAACCCTGGAGAAGACCTTGTCCGCCTGTGGGCATTCCTGATGGATTCCCTCGTGGAACTACCAGCAGACCACGTCGAGTCATTGGTAGAGCTGCTCAAGGCAATCGAGAACCTCTCAGAGCCTGACTTTACAGCTCTAGATGAGAGGAAGCGGCCCTCTGAAAAGCTATGGAAGGGTCTCCCGGGGTTCGGCAACCTATGGGCCGATTCATATCAATCTGGGAGTTGGAGGAAGGCTGCCACGGCGGCGAAGGGCCCCGAGCGTGACGTGCTGCGAGACGCACACGTCAGGAAGGCAGAGATTGAGGCGCTGTTGGTCGCGGCTGGCATCGGCGCCATCCCAATTGACTGGGGTTACGAGGTCGTCGCCGACGCCTTGGAGAGCAGCAACGCACTGCTTGATTTTGAGGTTCCGGCTGCGGCAAAGTGGCTCGTTGTCTGTGGTCAGCGGTTCCGAAAGGGAGCGGAGGATGGTGAGGAGAGTTGGGCGCTGAAGCCACATGTAACAGAATCACCCACGACCCCGTCGCGGGATCTCTCGAAAGCATCTTGGGACCAGGCGCTGAGTCTGGAACGATGGTCGTGGTGGGAAGGACGTCTGAGGGAGTTGCAGGGAGAGCAGAGGGTTGTTCAGGATGCAGCCGCGACGGCAATCGATTTCATGAGCAAGGTATCCCTCACCCAATCATGAAAAATACAGATTATTGTAGAGAATAAGCAGACACGATGAACAGAGGTCAGTTCTTGAGCGTCTTTGCAGCACCACATCGCAACGCCTAGACCAACCAAGACGATGAAGACAACGAGAATGAAAACGAAAACGAGGAGGAAAGATTCTCAGGGGTAGATAAACGCAGCAGAAACAACTCGTCGCTTCTGATAAGAGAACTAAATCGAGAATGGGAAGTATGAGCTCCGGTACAATATCAAATACAAGGGTGGGCTCGAAACTTCCTCATCACAATGTCAAATACGCTCTTAGAAAGGGGGGGGGGGGGGGTTCTATGGTTGTTGTTTCTGGTAACTCCATGGAATTTCTGACTGATGTATGTTGAGGAAGTTTCGAGCCCACCCAGTAAGGGTTTTCACAGTAGGGGAAAAAGCAGTAAAAGCCCCTCGGTCAGTGCCCGGTCCAGTAGCTTCGCAGTATTCTAACTGATGTATGCCGCCGGGACATTGCGCTGTCTTAGTTTTAGGAATATAATACAATTCTTGCGGAGCTAGCGGAAGCAAGCTTGGCATGATGATCGAAATACTCTCGAAAAGACGGTTTACCTAGGCGGTCTGCCACCGTCGAAGATTTCCGGAGGTGGCCTGTACATCTCACGGGTTAGCTAGAAAAGCGAAGAGTGGCATATTTTCGACGGAACGATGCACGAAGAGAGTGCGACGAGCCTCCACCTGGAATTGAGAAGCAAGGACGGAGGCTAACTGACAATATGGAAGCCATTGAAATTCATTGGGCTTTCCTTCATACATTGTTCGTAATGGCTTCAAGGAATAATAGCAACCCCAGCCACTACTTCTATTGCTTTAACTCAATCCTCATTTGCAAACAGCCTCTCAGAAAGGGAATGGATGTAAACCTGCTCTAAGTACTCATTTCGCCACTCAGTAGTTGTTTGAGCAAGCTTCAAAGTCACAGCTTTTAAGCCCACGATCACGCTCACTCTGAATAGGCATGCACTTGTCGGGCACACGAAAACAGACTTATCTGGGAATGATCGACAAGTTTAGGTTGACTGTATTGTTGTTCTGCCTTGACCTAAACCTCTTGGGGCGAAGGTGGGTAGTAGAATTGGATGGCTGTGTCATCTCTGCATTTACTCCAGCCTGATCCTTTTACGGAATAAAGGTACGAAAGAATCAGCAGCAATGATTGGTCAAGTTCCAGGGCTGCAAATGCAATGTTACTATGCCGTCATCATCTACCGCCTCGACATCCAATCACGTCTGTATCAGCGTTTCAATGAGGGGAATGTGCCTTAGTCTGCTATATTTATCCACATCTTCTCTTCGAAAGGTCTTACGGCAGGCTTGGTTCAGCTGGGGGGCGAGGCTTTGAATATAGCCAATAAAATCCCTTCTCGCTTACTTTAAATTGCTGATGTTGTCTTTGTCTCCATTCTGTGGTGTTGACTTTCTTCTTTCACCCTTCAGTCTTGCCTTCATTTGTTAGAGGCATTGTCCTGTTGTCAAGTTACCCAATATGAGAAATGAACTTCGCTCGTCCTTTCAATCCGATATTACCTTGAGATCTGAAGTTAGTAGTTTGAGCTGCCGTTCAGACTTTGAGAATTCGACCCTAGGGGAGCGATCGGCATTATGTCAAAACATCGAGATCTCAGATGTCGAAAATTCACCAAGGGATGTCTGCGATCACGGCAAGAAAAAGGATACCCGCAAGAATTTTCCCATCGAAGGTACCAATGAGTACCTTCCGATACCCATTTCCGAGTCAACGAAAACCGAGAAACCGCCTTCCTTGTGTCGCAGTAAATGGATAGCTGTCGACCCGACAAGCATTTGTATCTTGGGTATTAGGACTTCCTCATCATCGCTTCCTTAATTTTTTTGGGCTATATTTGGAACCATTCCATGCGCGCCATGGCTGGAGACAATATGGAGGGGACATTTTGGAGTCATGTTGTGTTCTCGGACTGGACATCCAGAACCGTCACTGTCGCCGCGGCTATAATTCGGATTGCCCTATCCCTACAGATGGGCGTTTTCACCGCCATGATAGCATCGCTGATGATAGAGAAGGCCGGCGTTCCCTTGAACATGGCTCCAACAATCTCAATACTAAGGGCAATGCCTGCGTTACCATTCACTCTATTCTGGACAACATTCTCGACCTTTTCACTTGATGGTTTGAAGTACAAGGTTGCTATTGGGATTTCCGTCATTTTGGCAATGACTTCTCAATTTGCATCGACTGCTCTTCTATCTGATTTTGCAATGGTAAATGTCACTGCCTCCCAGACAATCTCGAAAATTGCGTACGCCAAATCAGAGCCTACTCAAGTCTCTTTTGCTTCAACGATATGGACTTTACAACCATGGACATATTTCAGATTTGCAGAGAGATGGCAACCCATCGAAGACAAGCAATTGACATCTGACTACGAAGATACGGGTTCTATTACACGGGCAATTCTACCTTTTGAAGCTCAGTCGAGTCGCACCCTTTTACGAAAATATGAAGGGCCTGCCACGCTTATTGACTCACGAGTCTTTTGCGTCCCGCCTCGAATTATTCATAACATTACGCTCACGTTGCCACTCGGGGGTAACGTATCGGGCGTCGAAAACCCTCCTTATTCGAACGAATACTTCTTGACCGGGGAGTTCAAACTTGAGGGACCGTTTTCGAGGCTACACACGCTGTTTCCGGATCTTTCATGGGGCATTGACTGTGTTGTGTCAGCAGGAAATCGTTCCAACGAGAGCGAAAAGGAAACGGCCGAGAGGCCAATTGAAAATTTCTCAATATGTTCTGTTTCTACCCAAAGCGATGGTCCTTTCCTACCACCCAGTGCCAATCTTTCTTTCTCACTTCCTTCATCATATCCCAATGTGTTCCTCATGATCACTAGCGCGGGTACGGTCAGGGACTGGGTAGAAGCAATGGGGACTGACGATATGAGTTGGTTGGATGGAAACGACTCTCAACCTGATCCACGAACTTGGAATGCCGATGATTTAAGAGGGCCTAGCAAGGGGATATGGGCAAGCATCCAACCACCCAAGCTGCCGAACGGCATCAAACATACGCGCAACTTGAGTATCTCAGTCAGCGCCTGTTTTGCTAATCTCGAAGGTCACATTCGGAAAGTCAACATCTCCAGCAACACCAATGGAATTGACCCTCACTTAGACATTCGCAATAACTTCACAGTTCGTTATGATACGCAAGCCGTTCCAAATCAGTACTTAGTTTCGGCCAAACTTTCAGCGAACGCTCGAGGGATCATGACGCTACGTGCAGAAAGAGAAAAGGAAAACGAAACAAGCGAGGACGATCATATGTCCATGAGTCCTAGCATATCCTTCCGAGGGATACCTGTTGGACTGCCCTCCTGTGGTATGATGCATCGTGCAACGCTTCAAATTGGCGGCAAATCATCTCGCAACATTCACCAATCCTACGCAGTGCTCTTTCAGGGGGTTATGAAGAGGACGGGGAGAGTTACGGAGGCTCTCCAGGCGGTCCTAACATTGGCTCAGCAAGTGGAATACTACGAGAACTACCATTCTTTTGATCAATTCGCCTCGATATCATACTCGCTTGCGCAAGAACAATTGATTCCTATACGTCAAATAGGTTTCAGTATTGTGGCAGGCACCTGCGGCATTCACTTCATCCTCCTGATCGGAACAATGATATGTTTTGTTCGTTACACCAACGCAACCTGTTTGAGCAACATGTGGATGTCAATAAGTCAGATTGTTTGCTCGGAGACGGAGGAAATGATTCAGAACTCTACACGCAGACTGGATAGCGAGGTTAGGAAGGTCATTATGGAAATCGAGTCACCTTCTGGTGATTCAGGCCTGAGGCAAAGAGTCAAGGTGAAGAATAATGAGGAAAATGGGAGGCATGAGTTAGTAAGATTTTGAGCCACTGTTCTGAGGGCTCAAGTTTTACTACTAGCTTTGTGGCAGACTCAAGTTGAAGTATTTAGTCTTTCACTCCACCGCATAGAGCCCACTTGCCCCCAGTCTTCCGTAACTCGCCTCCGATCCCAGACGGCACCAATTCATAATCACCCTTGCCCACACCACACCCCCCTTGTTGAAAATGGCTCTCTATTCCGACTTTCTCCGTAGCATTGATAGCAAAGATGGCCGGCAACATCGAGCTTTTGACAACGGCGATGCTAGATGTAGCGGTTTCGATAACAACCAGGACAAGGAAGGTGATGGAGAAGAGATCCTGAGCTGCCAAAAGCGCCAGCCAGGGCCAATGAACGTCGACATGTACTTCAGACTGCAACGCCTCGCCGTTCACGTTGAATTTGCACCCAGTGGCCCCCCATGAGCGTTAATTTTGTAGTCAAAGGTTTCTTGGAAAACACCTCTCGCGACTCACGGGTTTGTGAGTCCCATTGCAAGGCTGCGATCCATTCCATCCACGTCCTCTTGCTATTTACTCATGCCTACATAGTGCATAGCTTGTAGGTAGAAGGCTGGCGCTTGCGTTACCCATGATATTCACTCCCTCGTCAGCTGGAAGACATGGAATTGAGGCCTCTAGAAGGTGCTCAACTTTGACCACTCCTGTTCCACTAAAGATGTACTTTGCGCCTTCTTCTCATGGCAAGGTGAGATAGGTGATGTTCCTGCTGTCACCATTGGGCCATTCCATTTGGTCGCTGAGGCATACGAGACATAGCAGGTTCCTTGGACAGAAAGAAAAACGATATGATAAACTTTAACAGCTCGCTTATGTACAAAATATGCCTCACAGGTATTCGTGGCCACCCTCTATTTGCTGCTGCACTCCTCCCTGAAGACGCATTGGAATCCGTCGGCGGCGCAGCAGAAGTTAGGAGGCTTGCACTGTCCCTCCTTGCCTTGAGCATCCTTGCAGGCCACTGAGAAAAGTCAACATTGAACGTGTCTTTGCGGTGAACGTTTGGCGTAGAACTTACTCGAGACTGACAGGATGGAGGCGAGGACAACGAG